ATTTATAAAGAAAGCTTAAACGTTTTTACTTAACTCTCTTATTATTCTTCTTTAAGTTTATTATCTTTAAGCGAACGTTAACTTTATAATAGTAAAAATAAATTAAATTACTTTAAAGAAGAAGTATTTTTAGCTATCCCTTACTTACTATTATTTATTACTATAATTCTTTATCTTTATAAAGGAGTCTTTTACACCCTTAATTAAGTTATTACCTATTAATATAAGATATTATAATTTTATTTTAGGTATTAACCTATAAAACTCTTAAGAATATCTTTAATTCGTTCTTAAAAGTAATCTTAAAGGCATTAACTTAAATTTACGAGATATAATATTAAGAACTATTAGCTTAAAGACTAACTTAAAAGGTGCTATAATACGTGTAGTAAACGGTAAAGAGACTATTAAAAGGATTTAAAGGGGTAATTAAAAGAGAAAGAAGAATATAAGAAGAACTATTAGCTTTAATAAATATTATATTAAAAAGAAGCGCGCTTTAATTAATAAAAGGTAGGTTTTTAAGTACTTACACTTAAAAGTAATCTAATTAAGTGTTAAAGAACGCATTTAGTTTAAGATCTATTAAAAGCTAACTTAAAGTACTCTTAAGAACCTTTAAGAAACTTAGGTATTAAAAGAAGCTAAGAAGCTTATCGTTAATAAGTATAATAAAGTTACGTGGGATAAGAAGATACGTAGGTTTAATTATCTTACTTTAACTATAAAATTAAGTAAATAACATTAATAAATAATCTATTAGGTATTATCTTATATTTTTAACTTTACCTTTATAAATAGTTTCTCTTATAGTTAATATTAATCTCCTTTATAAGCCGCTTTTTATAACTAAATTAACTAATAAGCTAATAATTAACTTACGAGTATTAAGGTAACTTTCTAACTAGTTTAAGCGCTTCTAAGAACTACGTGGAGCGAGTACATGGCGTAAAGCTGTGAAAGTAGCCAGCGTCACGTGAGTTATCTCCGAATATCACTATTAATTACCTATATGTTTAAAATTTTCTCTATTAAATTCTCCCCTTTATTCACTTTTGTTTTTGTTTGCTTTCTTAATCTTAATCTTGTTTGTCTTAATACAGGTAAAATGGGTTAATCTAAAAATATGTGTGCCTGTATGTTTACAGGGATGTGCAAATTAATGAACTACATTGTCTCGAGTTACCTTGGGGCGTGTAGAAGATGGTATAATGCTTTGGAGGCCGTTGTTAGTTTTGAGTGTGAGCTATCGTGACGATGTCGTTCAGCAGTTGGATAGATGTCTCGAACCATCTCATCCAGTAGTCATGACAATTTCTGGGCATCGGCAATGTCTAGCTTAGCAGGCCATAGCTGTGACATGGTTTATTGCGCAAGAGAATTTGTAAACGCCTTCTAAAAAAGCTTGTTGTGGCGTAGGCGCATTTCTTCCGGTCATGCTAACCACAGGGGCGAGTTCGCTACTTCTGTTTTTATCATGAGTAGGTAGCATAGCTCATAACACGCCAAAGATAAAGTGTGAAAAGTCTGAACGTTTAGACCATGCTTTGTATGTAGTCTCGTCTAAAAACTACATTTCCCATATGCTTCTGTAAGCCAGTCAACGGATAACAGTCTTCTTGGGTCATCATGAGCAAGTATCTCACTCTCCAGAGCCACAATGCGTCCGTCATTAAGGTATGCGCACGCAAGTTGCTGCTCTGATGCTAGTCGATAATGGTCCTTCTCATCCAACGTCCCCTTTCGAACTGCCACCACCCGCTCGAACATCTCCATTGAATCCTTAATCCGTCGGTCATTGAGGTATGCGCACGCAAGTTCGTACTCTGATGTTAGTCGAGAATGGTAGTCCGCGGTCAGTCTGTTGTCATTTATATCATGCATTGAGCCGAAAGCAATTCCACGATCGATATTGCTCAATATGGAACCTGAGCAGATGGAGTGGGCGGTTGGCATGCTTTGCAGCTACTCGTTTCTGCTTCGTCGGGGAGATAGTAGCACGTTTGACATGCACAGTCTTGTACACATTGCCACGCGAGAATGGGTCAAGAGGCAGGGCCGGATGGAGCAGGTGGTGAAGGATGCGATATGTCATCTTGCAAGGATCTTCCCTTCTACCAACCATGCTAACCATGAGTTGAGGACAGTACCTACCACATGTGACGCGGCTTCTGTATCAAAATGATGAGCAAAAGACAGATGATGCCTACTATCTGTTTGGGGAAATTGGAGATTGCTTCTACGACGACAGACGATTTAAAGAAGCGACGGTGTTACGAGGCCGTGTGTCAGTGGGCAGCACTTGCTGTGAGGCAGATCTTGCTTCATGCTGGCGTGTGTCGAACATGTGGTGCGAAGAGGCCGAACGAGGTCCTCTCTTAGGCATTTTGAGGTGTTATCTACTGTGGATTTTGCGGGAAATTGGCATTCACTTAAATTAGTGGCTTGACTGCGTGGTGAGATAGATTTCAGTGATGCTTTCACCAGATTAATGTAGTTCACTGTTTAGGACACGTTTGAACAGTTATTTCCGTGTATAAATACACGGTTTTAGACTGAGGTTTCCAGATGACCGACTTCAGCAACGAAGTCTCAAAACCCGAGATAAAACCGGCCTCGTCCTTAGCGGGCCCGTACGTATTTTGAACGTAATGGCTAATTCATGTATGTGAGATAAATTGGTATCAAGAACCTTGAAAGTACATTTTAAGAAGACAGCCTTTTGAGCCACGGGACTCCCGAGTTTGCCCGTATTCATCAAAAGCAATCTAGGTAACAACAATATTAAGGAACTCAAAGGTATTTAATCTCATTTACAATATAAGATTAGACTCACGACTACTTGGTTGGAACCGATTAAGATTTCCAAATACTATTAGCGCATACTAACTACCCTTACGTGATTGCATAAAGTGAATCCCGTTTGGATACCTTAAGCCGTAGCGGAATTCAAGTGTTCCGTAACAGAAATGATGTATCGTGTTGCCCTTTGAAGATCTCTACATAGTGCGATGGGATCCCCCCCTCAGCGTTTCATATACGACCAAGAATGGCATAAGGATTTTGGGGCCACAGAGATTAAATCCATTCTCACGTGTCTTTATCCTTAACACGCTACCCATGTGCAAATCTTTATAGCTAATAAATTCGGCGAGAATCTCATTGGTCTTCTGATCTAGAAGTGTAAAATTCCGGCGGCTCATTCCCCAAGTATGCTTCGTTATCCAGAGGAGCTCCGCAGTCTCTCCGAAAGATTGTCCATCTGTACTCTTCCTAGCTGTGATCTTGCCACGTTAAGTATATCTACTTCTTCTTCTTCTCCCCCTCCTCTACCTCTTCCCAATGTGTTTCGTGTGGCTTATTAAGGTTATTAAAGCGAATATGGATCTTCCAAGAAGCCTAATGCATGTAGGATATAGCAATGTTTGGAGACGAGGTGTGCAGGTCAAGAAGGGTGAGTTGTTGAAAGTGTTCATTAAAAGTCATTTGACAATAGAATTCCCGTCGCTCCTCATCCGCAATAGATCCCTCCATATGGCAAACCGCCTCACGAGGGTGTCTCCCTTATCGGCAGAGGCTACCGATGAATCTGGAGCGATCCAAGACAGGGGTTCCCGAGTCATTCGTTGAACTAAATAGCACTCGAATTTGACTAAACACCTAGGCTAGGTTGAAATCCGCTAAATTAAACCTGCATATATATGTATGTATATATCTAATATTGATGCTTACCTACGGCTTGTAAGCGTCGTTTAGTAAACACGCTACACGAAACCTAGAGGAGGTGCTCAATTCCAGATGCTAGGTGCCCCGATCGCAGGTCTCAATGGTGGAGTCCAGTAATCAAAATCCCGAATTGGAAATTAATTGCGCTGCGCGACGCCGCTATTGGATAACAATTAATTCTAATTCAGAGCCGCACACCCCACTGTGAAACTGCAAACCAAAGAGGCCAGAACCAAGAAAACTATGCGATTTGGTCTTGGATCGTGGATTGAGGATCCAAGCTTCAAGCGCCGGAATTGGATCATTGTCTAACTCACCATAAATACGATACTTCTGCTGATAGTTTCTCCCAGCTGACACCATTGTTTATCTAAACTATTGTAGCGTCGCCACAAATGGATAGTCTCCGATCACACTGAAGCCGCTTTGGGGCCACTTGATAGACTTCCCCAGGAGCTATTTAGTAATGTTACGCACTTTCTAACTCCATTGCAGAAAAAACGGATGATCGAAAAGCTCGATAATCCCGAAGAGAAATTCTTTAAGGCCGAAATTTTCTCTGCTTGGATCTGGAGCAAGATATTTAAGCCAAAGTCGTGGCCAGACCAAATAGCCGAGCGACTTCCGAACGAAGATCTTGCTCTTATTAGTCCTGATCTTGAAAAGTTGTCTCGTCATCCGAACGCTGACGCATTTCTACTACTTCTGGTACTTGACTGGTCATGCGATACTAGATACCAGAAGCCTGGTTTGTTTGAATCCTTCCAGAGCCCTGAATTGTATGACAAGCAAAGAAAAGAGATTAGGTTAGCGGGAACTTGCATCAAAGTCCAACTTGGTCGTGACCCGTGGGGTGAGGTAACCGAAGTCAGAGATCCAAGTGTGTTTCTCCGCCAGAGCAATGGGAAGCTATGGACGAATATTCTCTATTATTCTGATGACAGTATTCACACTATAGGAGAAGAGTGCATTAGAGGAATTGATTGGACCGAAGAAACAAGCAACATATCCGCGAGAGGTGTTCAATGGATATACTATTCAGGGATGGAATCGTGCGGGGCATGATGCTATTTGCTCATGAGAGGCCAACTGAGGTTTTTGGAATAAGATCAACTCAGAGAGGGGGATTAATAATAAGGTGGAGATTGCCGAGAGCAGGTGATGACTGGCGGCAGCTTAGCACCCATTATGAACACTAGATACCGGACCATACTAGTAACTGGTATAATTCAGCCCGAAGGGCGTTTATTCATGTACCATGTTTCCTTATCTTCCTAACAGTTCAGCATGGGAGGTTGGCCATGTACGGGAGTTTTGAGGGGGGGAGGAATGAGGCGGTCCGCGCCAACGAAGAAGCTGGTATGATCCGCCTCCAGACGGTTCGTGATTAAGAGTGCCTTGCTGTCCAGATATATCTTGTTGTACATTAGCGTGTGATGAAATCTAAACCCCCATCTCGCCACTCACATTCTGCAATAGGCTTTGTATCGTGCAGTGCGTAAGTCGTCGAGAACGGCTTCGCAAAGCAGGTCGATGTCCTTGATAGACATGGTAAGATACAAGCTCATAGGGCCGTAGGACAGGGCTTTAATGGCGCGACTAAAACCAGCCCCAAACCATAATGCTACGTCTCTCTCGTGACGGTCTTCCGACCAAGGAGTGAAGCCGACCCTGATTGAGCAATCGTGGATATCTGAAAATCCAGCAGTTCTGAGTTGTCTTCTCGTTCGCTCTGGTTCCACTCTCATCGAACGACCGTGCCGATCCATGGCGCGCAGCAACTTGTCAGTCCAGTCGACAAGGGCGCATTTGTACGGAATATTGCCGCCCTTGAATCGTGGTTCCCAATCTATTTCTACCTGCTCTAAATATCCGACATTCGGTTTTAAGTGTCTGCCAGTAAATTAGTAACGCGCCGATAGAGGAACATGTTGGACTGTGACTTTCGAACCGATGTATCTTCCTGTACATGTCTTCCCAACAACGAACAGCCCCAAAGAGCGTTCGGACATGTATCAAATCCCAGTTACGTTCCATAGGCTTCCAATCGCTCTCTATGTCAAACTCCATGGGGGGCTCCATGTTTGCCGGGATCCTAGTCATATTAATGAGGGTTACCCCCAGGCGGTCCGCAGCTCGTCTTGCTCACCTTTCGGGTTGAATCATATTCATGTCTACCCCGAGTACAGACGCTCGTGGCAGTGCCCTAGATTGAACGCGTCGGGCAACATTCTTTGTGCAACACCCAGTGGACGTACTCGGCCATGTCAATTGACCAGATCCCCGTTCCTGTCCCGAGATCAAGGATCCGTAAGTCTGTTGTGGTATCCAGTGGCGACGAGAACAGGGCATTGCCCCGAGCTGTGAGGAAGAGTTTGTGAAATATATCCAAGCGCTGCAGCTCTTCCTGCACCGAGCATGTTTAGCAGCAGTCCGGTGTCCACATGGCAATTGAGCTTACCTGGTCAATTGGAAATATATACTTGCTTCTCTTCAGCTTGTCGTCACTTCTTCCATACCATCGATCACCAAATAGACGTTGCACATGCTGCAAACGCCCGGCATATTGTCCATGGGCGTGATCTAGATGGCCAATGTCAGTTCAGTACATTCACCGCCGGACTATTAAGCACTTCAGCTGCAAAGCGAACAGGGTTTCCTGCAGTGTTTACCCTCTGGATTCATAACGAGTGGAACCGCGTGTGCGTTTTGATGTAGCCGATGTCTCATGTACGATCCTCGTTTCAGACAATGCAGGAGGAAGAAATCTCGGTTCGGGTAATGCTCGGACTTTTTCATAAGCCGCCAGAGCCTCAGGGCCGTGAAGCAGCAACACTAATTCTGGGATGCGGCTTCTGAGCAGAAATGTTGCATGTATCAATAGCAGTCATAGTCGGCCAGGCCTCCTTGATTAGTATTATTATTTGTCATACATGCTGGTTAGCTCGCATGGTCTATTGACAAACAGCTTGACGACAGCTGGCCGAATATTTGAATGGCCCTCATGTTAGGCATTGGAGACCTGGCGGGGTGGGCGTATTTGATCATTTGAGCTTGGTTATTGACAGTCATAACTCTATTAAATACTATTTCGGTGTCAATTATACCTCATAAATGCTCGCATTCTCCTATCTCTCTGTGTCGTTTAGACCATGAGTGCATCCAAAGTATATACATCGTCTGCCGAATTGAGTTTCCCTTTGCATCGCCAAGTGATCTGCACCGCTCTAGGGTATCGGCTCATCGACTGCTAGGGCGACGAGTCAGAGCGGACCATACCTTCTCAGGCAGAACTGGATCTCGTATATGACGTATTCTCAAGCAGTTAGTGAAGGGTCATCCGGTCAGCCATGCCAACTCCAGGGGCATCTTGCTGTCGAAGTCAGACGACAACGCATTGCTGCCTGAACGCGAACTCGGCAAAGTCCAGGGTCTCCATTCCGTCGCCGCCAGATGCATAGTATCTGCAATGTCCACTGCACGCCGAAACACAACGCTGGAGTATGAGGCAAAGACTGGAAGTATCTAGTCGAGGACGTATTCGAGATGCTAGAGTGGCTGGGCCGCGCCTGTCCCTACGACCTTGTTTGCATGGCTCCAACGTGCAGTGAAGCGACCGACGGTATCGGGGGAACAAGCTAATCAAGCTTCTGCATATAGAGGTGCTATTTGAGATATTGCTTTAGATCAAGCACGGCGGTTGCTAAATTATTCTTAGGTCCTTTGACATGTATGTCACCTACAAAAGGAGAAGCATTCGTTGGTGCTACAGGTTTGTTGGGGTGCCAGACTCGTGCATTGAAGTTAGAGGAGCGAGGAGCCCAGGCCAGCACAGGTGTCTTTGGGCCGCAAGTGGAGGATCGAGTGACTGCAAGTCACCTGCTCCGTATATGTGCAAAGATACCTGCTAAATGGTGCCAGCTTGTCACTAGGACTTTGTCTAATTCTCGACCGCTGGACTGAGGATACTGACAGGGTGTAAACGCTTGGACGACGCGAACCAAACCATCGCGTTCGCGCCACCCCGGCCTGTACACTATCTGAGCGCGCTGGGTCTTGAAGACCTGTATAAAACAAAAACTTAATTAATAATGAGTCTTATAACGTGACACCAGCCCTTTCCGGGAGGGCCTCTGCATTCGCAAATACGTATATTGTCGCCCCCACGGATTACAAGGTAACTCCGGGGTAGGACCATGGATAAAGTCTGGTGGCGTTGGAGCTCCGGGGAACGACAACGATGTCACGGCGAGAAGGTACCTGCCGGTTGCGGCATGAACCTTTACAGCCGACATGTGCAGATGTCGCGAGAAGACGTTTCGTCCAAGGCATTACATCGCAACCAAGACCACATGCAGACATTCCTCGGACTCCACGGGCTCTCGGCCCCTCCCCGAGTCCGATTCCTCCTCCGGCACACCGAGAACGCATTCGTCTGAGACAAAAAGTCAAATTGACTTCTGACATCACAATTAGGATCTGGGCTCGGCCATCAGTGCCACGCCAGCCACATAGCCAAGCCCGTTATTTCTTTAACAGAACGCCAGAGGCAATCCATGACTATTCGTAGAATACTATTTCTCGGATTGAGGTGGGTGGCATGTATATTGTGTCAATGTTTCAACCTTCCATCCAATCCAATTCACTACAGACACGTTCAGCAACTTCCACCCCTGCCACAATCCTGTCACCCACCACTATGAGACATTTTAAGCGTGCGCTTTTAGATAACTGTGACTGTTCTTATTGGGCTGCGTTCAGGAAAGTAAAAAGAGCAAGTGTGAGCTACAGAGTCGAAATCTCTTCACGGTGGCTGGCTTACAATGCGGTGATTGGGTCAATACAAACATCAACACAGGCAGAGACCTCCTCGACAGATTCTAGCTATATGCGGTTATTTCTCGTTAAACACACCATGGCAAAACGGTTTGCGCGTGGGCTTCCTCGTTGATGGCAGTCTTGGTTCCATGGACCTGTGCATGCATCACGCTCTATCGCGGACGGTTCCGTTTATCTCATCCGATTCCTAAAGGAAGCCATTGTGTCATGTATTAAAATATATATGCAACGGCATAAGAGATGAATTACACTTTGCGATTAGTTTCCAGGGTCCTCACAATTCTTTCCCAGTGAGCGTCATCCGTGTTTGCATCTAACCAGTAATTCCCCTCGTGGTCCTTGCCAACCGTAACCATGACTTCGAAAGGAACGGGGTCATTAAAGGTGCACTGGACATAAGACGGAAATCCCGGCCTAGTAGATCCCGTAGAGGCATTTTCGACCACAGCTCCAGTAAAGTCGACGTCGAATAGCTTCGCGTTGGTCCAGCTGGAGCCCACGAGGACCGTCATTGTGGCATCGCCAAACATGGGCATCGTCAGGGTGCCTTGCTTCTCCCTCACCAGCGCAGAGAATGCCTCGACCTGTGGACGAGTGCGAGATTCCGTGATGCGCTGACGCAGTCGCGAAGCCGTGTAGCTCAAGGGGCGGCTGATGACTTCCTGCGCAGACAGCAGGACGGTGAACATGGCCACCGCGTTGGACAAGTACGGCTTGGACGGGGGCAGGAGGTCGTTTTCAAGAGTTCGGCGGAGTCCCAGAGCATTGTGGAGGTTGACTGTACCGCGCGGATTCTTCTTGGCCGCCGTGTGCAGTCGAGCCCACCACGCCGTGATGAGGTTGTCGTCGCTCAGAAACGGCCTTTGCTCGTCGGGCTCGGTCTCGCTCTCTGCTTGTTGGCGAATCTCGCGCAAGAAAGCCGACGGGAGGCACAGGACGCGGTTTCGATACCTCTTGAAGACGGCATTATAGAGGGCTCGAATAGTGTATAGCATCATTTGAAGCCTGGACAGCCTGAGCTTCTCGAGCACGTAGGGTTCCGTGGGGTGGAGCCCAAGATCGGCCAAAGGATCCTCGCTTGCATCATGTGGTGTGCCGACTCCAGTCAATTTTCCATTGACAATCGACGACCAGGCTCGGAGAAGCTCTGCCTTGCCGGGAGTGTCGAACAGGGTATGGAACCAGCTCAAAACGACGAGGGTCGCGTCGCGGAATGACACGACGACGAGTCCGAGCTGTGGCACATCGTTTTGCAGGTATTCGGAAAACTTGGTAGGAACACTTGGGTGAACCCATAAAGACCTAAAGGCCATGGCATCTGCGACTATCTCGGGTCCCTGAGATGCCCTCAGTTTCTGCATCTGAGATGCAACTGGGTGTTCGACTATGAGCATGTCATGCTGAATGTGGCAAAACTGAACCGCTCGACGATCCTCGGTGAAGGTGGCTGGGATATGATAATGCACGCGGCCCTTTTTCTGCCGTTGAGTCGTGGGGTCAGCTCAAGTCCACCGAGTCTGGTCGTAAAAGCAGATATGGGTTGGAGGGGGTCTCACGTCATATCTGAACCTGGCACCGATTTTGTCCCAGCCCTTGAGGGTAGCCAGAGTTTCAAGGCCATCTCGCAACTTGAAAGGATCGAGAACGTCGTTGAAGAGCAACGTCGTGAACATGATGGTGTGCTCACCGTGCGGAAGGTTGTCAAGCCGTCGAAGTGGAATTACCCTGTCTGTCGGTATTGTTGGCGCTTGGCCGCGTGTGGGATCAAAGAGACTGAACATGACAGCGGACGTGTAAGAGCTAGTCTTTGAACAGTCTGCTACGGGATTGTCCACGGTACGCAATATTCGCAGGAGAAAATTGGCGGGCTGTGGGATCTTCTAATGTAAGAACGACGGGATGCGTGAGAGGTGGCTGACCTGGGGGAAGTGGCCCGGCCTCGTCATAGGTCAATCAATGCATTCCTATTGCTAGCGGGTATATATGACGAGGGTCTAACGAGTCTCGGAATGTAAGGGCTTAAATTCAAAGATAGTATCAAAGAGTGTCAAAGGTCCTTGGTTTTCTAAGAGGAAAAAAGGGATTAGTAACTATTTATATATACATAAAAGGAATACCCAGGCCTAGGGCCCTTACCCGGGCACGTATTCTGGTTATATAATAAGCAAGTCCTTTATCGGTGAGGCCCCCTTGTTGGGCCTCACGATCTGTTGAGCCTTTTCCGTGTAACAGTATAAGGTGCTGTTGGCCATGCAACACAACCCACAGCGGATGGCTAATACTATTGAACAAGCACGGGACCATGAGACAGACATGAGATTTAGCAAGACGCGTAATCTATGTACCAAGTACGCGTATTTACTTCAGAGTTTCACATGTGTAAACACTATAAGAGGTATATGCAGCATCCAGGACCACTCCTAGACCATGCTTTGCCGTGGCTTGGTGTTTTGAGACATTTGAAACCTTGTGTATTGCTACTTTTAACTTACGACGCACACTTGGATCCTAGTTATCTACGGAGTACTACGTGCTACATTCTCTATAATGCTACGTAGTTTCCATGGTTGAGGTTTTGCTGACAAGTACCGAGTAGATACGCAATGAGTACTCCGTAAACCACATCCGTCGGGTTGAAGATATCTCAAACTTTCAGCCAGGTTTAGCAATACCACGACTCCCTACCTAGGTAGGACCTTGTACTTGGTACTTTGCATAAAGTTCTCTTTACATACCGAACAGACATCTCACTCTTGTAGTTGGGCAGACGTTACGTGGCTCCTCTCGACTGGGTCTGCTCCAGCCCCTATCAGAAACTCGCTGAGACCAATATGTACACCAAGTTGGACCCAGGTGAAACAAAATGGCTGTCGAGTCTCTATAATAGTGGTATCCTCAACCCGACCCCCCCTCCTCTTGTTACCTGAAAATCCAACGACGCACATCGAATATAAGGGGAAAATGTGTGTTAATAGCACAAACTAGCTAGGATATTACCATTAAATAAAATTACTTTTATTAATAGAATAAATAAACTTAATAAAATTTTATTTATTATTAAATTAAAATTTAATTTTATAAAATTATTTTTATTTATATTTTAAAAAGTTTATAATATTTAAATTTATAAAATAAAAATTATTTTTTATTTTTATTTTTTTTTTTTATTTATAAATTAAATAAAAATATTTATATT